CTCCCCCCCCAACCACACTTCCTCCCCGCCCCTCCAGGAGTCGGCTATTAAAAGCTGCTGACGTCAAAAGGGACGGCCATCTTTGATGAGGGCAGAGCTCACGTTGCAGAGAAGACGAAACCTCGGGGAGGTCAGGCGCTGTCTTTCCTTCCCTCCCTGCTCGGCGGCTGCTCCACACTTGCAACCTGCAGGGCCCCGGCGATCACCGCTCTCTGGAGAAGGCAAGGTAAGGAGCCTCCTGCCCGGGTCGTGGTTCTGGCTCTGGAAGGCTGCATACCCACAAGGGACCACGGCTGGGCAGACCAAGTGAGCTTGGGCAAATACAAGTATTTGTGCACTTAGGGTGCGGTATTCCGTGTGTGCACGTCTGGCTAGACTCCTGCCTGGGGCTTTTATAAAGTATTTTCGAGGTGAGCTGCTTGGGGGTGGGATGAATGGGGACACTGCAGATGGAGCGATGGAGAGAAAGAGCAAGGATACGAACCGAATAATAACTTACTCGTTTGAAACAGTAGTGGGACCCCCTCTCTCTTCCATTTTGCGATGCAGTTTTCAGAGCTGTTTAGGCTGTTGGTATTTTTTTTTTCTTCCTGTAGATAGAAAAAAAAAAATCCTGTCGTTCTAACCCTATTATTATGCTTGTTGCTGTTAGGGCGCTATTATCCAGGGACGAATTAAGAGGAAGGCAGGGTGTGGGTGCTGGGGAGGCGAAAGGAGAACGGGGGAGTTCCCGCCCCGGGCAAGCTGAGCTGCGGCAGCGACAGCAGCCTCCATGCCCCACGGACTTGATTTATGCCGCCTGCTCCACGTCAACTGCAGGCTGGCGGGAGGCGGGCGGGTCGTGCTGGGTGGGAGGGCTCTGCGGAGGGCTGGCGCGGGTGGGCTCGCCTCGGGGACTGCGGCGGCCCGCACTCAGCATCCTGGATAGCAAGGGCTCGCACAGCCGCGACCTTTCAGCACCGGGGACAGAGGTCCGGCCGCAGCGCCGCAGCTACCTGCGGCAGAAATGCCTGGCCAGGGCTAGATGTGCCAGGGCTAGATGTGCCAGGGCTGTTGGCCAAATAGTCTCTCTCAGAGCTCCGTCTTACAGAGACCCTTAATAGAGCAGGCACAGTAGGTTAAAAGAAAACAAGAGAGAGAAAAAAATAAAACCTGCCCACGGGGACTCCTTTGCAGACCATTGCCTGCTCCCCTCTTCACTTCCTGCACGGCTTCAACAAAATAATAGTCTACTTGTGGAAATCTTGTATGTTACTCTCTGCTCCTTCTTTTAAGTAGAGAATAAATATATTGTTAAAGATATGCATTTATTCTCCAGTATAATATCAAGGGTTTGTTTTTGTTTTTGATTTTAACACAGAGTAGATCACGTCTGGAGACATGTGTAGGGTGTACATGAAGACGCCAATGCTGTCTGTTTACAAGGGTGCTATATCTCTCTCTATAGTTCTGTTTGATCAAAATTTGAGATTAGCTGAACTAAGCAGAATCAACTTTAAGAATGAACCCCTCATCCCCTTCCTACTCCCCCCACCCCTGTATTTAAGCATGAACACAAGCACACATCCACAAAAATACATCTCTGAGAAATATTACAGGTTTTATAGTATATGAATTTAACCTTTTTGGCCATGGCTTCAGAGTTAGTAGAAATATTTCCTATGGATGTTGCTTATTGCAGGCTGATAGCTTTTGATTTTGACAATATTAAGACTGGTTTTCCTCAGAAGAATCTAACTGTGTCCTTCAGGGTAATTCAGGTAAAAGAACCATGGTGTTAGTCTGGAACTGGACTCTGACTTAAAGATCTACTGCAATTTCTATTATGGCACTGCAGGATTTTGCTGAGCCAGTGACAAGTACTTTAACCATTTTCTACTCTAAAGCTACTCGAAATCTCTGGAGCATCTAAGTGAGCAAAAATCCTCACAGGGATATTTCCCTCTGTTTGATATAGATAAAACTGGCATAAAATGACCAGGATCAAAATTGTGCCATTTGCATAGTTGGTAAAGAAGAGAAACAGCGTCATCTGTAAGAATATATAAAATGCGTTACAGAAACACTATTGTGATCCCCTTAAAAGACCCAGAATAAAATCTTGGATTGTGTTTAGTCATAACTCCAATCATCTGTATACTAGAGATACTAAATTTCTTGTCCACATACAGAAGCTATTTTATTTCCCAGCTATTTATTTCCTAGTGTTTTTCTTTTTTATGGATAACCCTGTATTTCCAGGCATGTATATGTTGATCTGTTATTGTACGTGCATGTAAAATTATTTGGGTGGAAATTTATACAAGAATATGTAAATCCATGAAAGAAATTTATAACTCCGTGATCTGTAGATGAAATAAACAACTGTGTTTTTGTGATGGGGGGAGGAGAGAAAATATGGGCAGGAGTCTTAAAAAATGCTTTAAGTTCATGCTGCATGTCCAGACAGCTCTCTGCGTAGTTGTGTCAAATGAAAAGCCGAACGCTGCTAGAATTACGTGCTTGGACATTAGTAATTACTCCTGGGTTTGTTTGCTAGTGGAAGACTGGCGGGGAGGAGGGAGGTAGAGGACTGCAGTGAAGCTGGCGACGGGCGCAGAGCTGGGAAGAAGAGGCAGTGTGTACAATTATAGAGGTAATTCTAGAATAGCTTATGAGAAATTAAAGAAAAGCATAATTGAAGCATGAATTTAACATGTCCATCATTTACAAGCTTCAGGGAAAAAAAATCAGGAGGTTTCCTATTTTAAGTTGGAATTTTAAAAATCCAGGGCAATGCGGTAAGAAGAGGCAGGAGCAGATGTAATAAGGACAAGCCAGGAATCATTAACATAGACCCTCTGCTGGTACCTGCTTGTTTGTTCATTGGCATTTTTCTGCATTGCCACCTTGGCATTGAAATTTCAAAACTATTTATAATCCTCCTAACCTCTCCATGGTAAAAATCTCCCAAGAATTCACAATTTTATTTTTATTTTGTTAAATATGCGCAACCACATAGGCATAAACACAATACAAACTGCTCCTTGTCTGAAGATATTCCTAAGCTCTACATGTTAACCCCAGAGTAAGGGTCATCCACTGAAAATTGATGTTTCTGCCAGTGACACCTAGCAGCTGCGTAGCCTTGGCCTTCAGCAGAACACGTAGGCTTTAACAATTAGTAGAAATGAGAGAAATAATTTGAGAAAGAGCTTAAGAGAGGATATATGAAAAAGAAAAAATAGATAAATCTGCTTTTTAGCTGATGCACTATGAATAAACAGTGTTTCTCGCATTATAGGACAGCGTGAACATTCTATATAGGTAGGAAAATTCATGTTTTCAGCCTCAGCGTTGGATACAATTCTGCAATGTCATCCCTTGTCAGCAGGGACCAACCTGATAGGAAGATATTGATTAGTCAGTAAGCACCAGATATATAAATGAACCCCATGGGGGATATAAAGTCTCATGATTATATGGTCTTTGATCTCAATAAATTTAGCATTTAGAAATTTTAATAAAAAACAGTAAAGTTAATAAATAATACCAGAGTGAAAATGCAATAAAATGCTAGAAGAAAAGGTATGAGGGTATATATAATTTATTGCCAAGTGAATGTGACCGACAATAAGGAATGCAAATTTGGTGGGGGCCAGTATCACCGTGGACGAGAATGATCTGAGAGAGGAAACAGGACTTAAGGTGGGTTTTGGAGGTTGCAGAGAGGTGAGTGAGGTCTGCTAAGTAAAAGTCACAGCATAAGCAAAACTTCACCTTAGGCAAGCCCACGCCGTGGTCAGCAAACCCTGGAAATGCTCGTCCATTTGGGGGCAGTAGGAAGCTGGTGTAGGTGGGGGGTGGGAGGATATACTAGCATGGAGAATTGGAGCCTATGTGGAAGGCTTTGATTGTGAAGCTGAGACTTTGATACTTTATCTTCTGAAGTTGATTTCTGAATAGAAGCTGATATAACAAAGTAACCAGGTCCTTTTTAATATCCAGTGTTTGCTATTGACAGAGTGGAGTTAATTTGCATTCTTCCAGAAATACAGGGAAGCAACTTGGTATCATAAGGGATGATTAATGAAAAAAAAAAAAAAAAACAGTCCTCCTTGAAGCATCTTTTAAGATCACTTTTCAGGATACCTAAATCTACATGGACATATAAGTCCTGTTCAAAAGTTCATTGTAAGTTTCAATGTCCCATTATTGACTAAAAGAAATTATTCAAGATGAGCACCTGCCCGGGAGATGGAAAAGCAGGTGAGGAATCTGGTAATGGAAGGCCCCAGGAGGGACACTGGAATAATAAACACGATGCAGAACACTCTCTTGCCCCCTCGTAGCATTCTGCATCATCAAATACACTGACTAGATGAATGAAAAAAGATGTCAGTTCTTCTGAGCGTGTTTTGAGCAGCATGACAAATAGAACCGGCCCCAAATGACTGAAAATGGGGGGTAAAAAGATGCTATGATAATATTTTGAAAAACT